TATATATATATATATATATATATATATATATATATATAAGTTTTTATAATTATACTTGTGATGTCTTATACCTTAAAATATTTGTAAAATTGTATCATTACTCAAAAATTGATCATCTATGTTGTTTCGTTTATCGATCTTTATCAATTTCATTGCTGGAAATAGACATTCAACACTTGTTGCAACGAGAAAGATTTTGCCTTATTTATTTCTTGGGTAATTAAGTATTTGGGTTATTTTTTAAGAGGTAAATTTTGTGCCTTCAAAATTTTGCTATATTTATTTAATTTGTGCGACACCATAGGAAATGACCAAAAATATTTCAAGGTAGGTACTAATTTTTTCTAGGTAGGTTGTCACATTTTTCGAACTAAGTCCTATCATTCTTCTTATAAAAAATAGAAAATGACTTATCAGGGTAATTATTTTTGTCGTGATAATTACATTTATATAACTTCTTTATTTTTGTACACCTTTGATCATTTAACTTGTTATATGTGTTCTCATATTATTGTCACCGACTATAGCAGTTGACAATGGTAATATGTGAACAAATTAACAAGTTAAATAGTTAAATGTGTACAAAAAAGTTGCCTACATATGAACAAAACGAAAAGTTAATTACCCTGATAATTCATTTTCCCCACTTTTAATAGCGATTTTATTTTTCATATTTGTTTGTATTATTTTTTTTTCAAACGTTATTTTTAAAATATCCATAATTTCCTAAATATTAATTAAATATTGATCAATTTTCAACTTTACTTTTTAATTAATAAACGTGTTTTTGTTTTGTTAAATATTTTATATAGCCTCTTATAAATTTTTTTTTATGTTTTTAAGCATATACAATATTTTTTAACGTAAATAGTATCTAACAATAAAATTAAATAAATTAAAAATGTAACAATAAGTATTGAGTGACTTTTAAAAAAATAAAATAAAAATATTACGTAGCAAATAAAAAAAATTTATATAATGTAACGTTTTAAAATTATTCCAACTTTTTAATACTTTTTAATTAGAAGTTTATAGACTTTTATTTTTTTTTAATACAACGTTTTAAACTAGTATTTAACGAAAGTATTTTAAAATGTTATAAAAAATCTATTAAATTGTAATACAACATCTGTGAAACACTT